GAAAGTCAGGAGCCAGCAGGCAATTAAAAGAGGACTTGCACCCAAATAGCAATTTCAAGTGGAGCTATACTGATGTAAAGGTTTCTTAAAAGTAGAAGGCATCGCAATAGCTTACGTGTAAAATGTTGGCTTCCCGTTTGCTCGGAATCTCACTGTCAGCATTTAGTAACAAATGCCTTTCTGAATAATTTATATAGGTTTTCTATGCAGTCATGTGACCACAACACTCCAGCTAGTCTCCATACTGCAGGCCCCTCTGAATATCAGGGAGCCGTGGCAGCATCCTAAGCTCCTAGTATTATCAGCCAGAACAGTTCCTGCTCAGCAGCCACGGAGAGGAATGAGCTGGAGCACCAAATCTTTATAGTCACATGGCTGCAAGAAAGCGATTTATTACAATATGTACACAGGAAAGACCAGAGCAAAAGTTCAAGCAACATCTCACACGCGAGTTATGGTAATGCTTTTCCTTCTGCATTAAGATGTACATTGTGAACTTAAGTATGATAACTTAAGTATGATAGTAATCGGTTTCATGGAAATGATTTGATCGGTTTGTGTAGTTTGTATAATGAGAAGATTTGCCAACCCCTATGTACATAAAGAATTACAAACTCTGAATCCTAGCTATGCTTTATTTATCATCTCGTCTCTCAGTCACTCTACCACACAGGGTCTAAAGATTAAAAGAGACTCTGCCTATAACACTGCAATGCTCCTGTTGGTCAGAGACCATGTGATTCTTAACTACTGACTCACGTGAAGCTTGAATTTTAATAAGTCCATTTATAGCATGTTTAAGCCTTCGGCCTCATTCACATTAGAAAAGGCAGGCACGTATAGCTCCGTGCACGGTCAAAACTATCAAATACGTGTTATTAACACACAATAAAAGTGCACAATAATCTTTTGTGCATAATCTGCTACCATGTCCTGGTGGTAGCCAGTGAGATATTAAATACGAAATTTCACTTTGTGCAAATAAAAACCTTATTATTTGATTTGATGCACGTTTATATTTGATTGCAACAAAGAATTTTCTTATAATTTTTCTATAATGTTTTTTTGCACTTTTGCACGAAGTGAAATTTTGTATTTAATATCTCACTGGCTACCACCAGGATATCGTAGCAGATTATGCACAAAAGATTATAAGCACTTTTATTGTGTGTTAATAACACGTATTTGATAGTTTTGGTTCACTTATTGGTGACCCTGAGCGCTGCACACTCATTTACATAGCTCCCGGGAAGGACAGGTGCTGTGTGATTAGTATGCAGCCCCTCCTCTATGGGACTACGCAGCCAGACGCCGCCCTACGCTCACCCCAAGTGCAGGTCTGTGCGGGTATCCGTACTCGTATGCTGACAGGATTGATCTGGTCTGCGTCCGAGCCGGGACACCCGCACTTGGGGAGGGCGTAGGGTGGTGTATGTCCTACCATAGAGAAGGACAGGGGCTGTGTACTAAATCACACGCAGCAGCCGTCCTTCCCGGGAGCTGCTCAATGCGGCTGTGCACGGAGCTGTACGTGCCGGCCGATTCTCGTGTGAATGAGGCCTTCAAGTTAAAAAGTACCTGCTGACAAAATGCCTTTGGAGCAGACTGAGCATATATTCCCAAACTAAAGCTAGCCATACACTGAAATTCGAGTCACAGGTGGTCCTGCTGACACCAATCGACTCAACAAAATTCGATTGTCTGTTGCAGAAGTCACAATTTGGGTATTTAGACAGCTGTGGGTGCCAGCCATCTGAATTAATTAGC